AACGGACGCGGGACCAGAACCGTGGGGAACGCGAGCCTGACCGTGCTCATCAAAGCACGCCAGCCGGGAGCGCAGCACTCTAATAGGAAGTGCTTCACAGTCTGCACAAACAGCTCCCTCAAGAGCTGCTTGTGTATGCTGTGCTCCCAAACAATTCACACACAAAGCATGTGTGTCCCCACCCGTAATAAAACGAGGGCAAGGATGCACACATCTTTTAAATTGTTCGCTGGCCATTCTGATCAACTGATTGACAAACAACACCAAATAAGACAGACAGTTTCAACACAGAGCGCTTGCTGAAGAGCGAAAGCTAGTGTGTGTTGTGACAGTGTCACTTTTATACTTCCGGGTATGCCGTCACATGTTACGTCACGACGCAACACCAATCAGGATTGGATTAGTTTCATTCATACTTCAGAGGCGCACGCTTAGGGAGCGTCCCCAAAGTGTCGATTCTCGACGCAGTGTAGAGTTCCCTCGAAAGGGAACAGCTGTGCTGCTTAATTTTTTTAGGACTCTTTGATGAATAGAAAGCTAAAAAAAAAAAAAGATTTATTTGAAATAGAAATTCTGTAACATGTATTTAATGTCACTTTTGATCAATTCAATTTCTTAAAAAAAAAAAAACTCTTACCCGCCAAATTTTTTAATGGTAGTGTCAAATCAGCAACAGAATATAGCGACATTGGCATCACACATTATGATATATCATATCTCCACTGCTTGATTGCTTGTTTTGTCACAAAAAATGTAAAACATTTAAATCGCCCAACTCTAATTTGCTAGATATATAGATCTTATATCCATCAACCTTGTGATCTTCTGTAAAGCTGCTTTGAAACAAATGTGTATTGTGAAATGTGCAATATAAATACATTTAATAGAAATAAAGATTAATTATATTTCTTTAGTTCAATCTAAAATAAACAATTTAGGCTGGTCCAGCTTATTACGTCACATTTGTTTGTGTAGCACTTTTCGCAATACATTCTGTTTTAAATCAGTTTTAAGAGATGTCTTTACAGAGATAAATGGGCATGATATAGAAAAGCAGGAGACATCTTCATTATAGAGGTCTAGTCTATGCAAGAGATGGACAAATGGTCTCCACTTCCTTCCACTATAGAAAAATGAAGCCAAAATATCCCAGTAATATCTGTTGACATCTTGCGCCAATTACGTTATTTGTAGTGATCCTGAGGTGAACCCGTGGTATCAAGGGACTCAATCACAAGCACAGTTGCCAATCTTGACGTTACACCTCGTTTTTAAAGCATCAAATAACTAATTAAAACAAAACTTACATGAAAAACAAACACTTGAACAAAAATCAACGTGATAAGAACTACATCAAATGATAGAAACCATCTCTCGAAAAAAATATATATATTTGAAGTGTAATTGGATTTTTTATTGAATTTATTTCATTTTTATTGAAGTGTCTCATTTGGATTTCATGGACAGGACGGGGTTACTGCAGCCAACAAAGGGGGTGATCAAAATGTGAGGCAGACTTGATGCTAATGCTCACAACAGCGCCCCTTGTGGCAACTTTGAGAATGCAACAAATGTGCTCCAACCCAAGTCAGAATCCAACAATGTATTAAAAAGAGGTTGCGTGGCTTATAGAAGGTTCACCCTGTGCCTCCAGCAAACTTCTGTATGCCATCCAGATCAGACACAATTAACCCAGCACAACAGAGGTGTTTTCAACACAACAGGGAGCTGACAATGGTCCCTGTGCTTGCCATTAGCAACGCAGTGGTGAAACTTTGCTTTTAGCAATGCACTGCACTTTCCTTGCCTAAGCTTACCCTTAGGTGAGAGACTGGGGAGATTTCACTGCGTTACCAGGAGAGCCTGTGAATTAGCAACAATATAAGAGCCCCTATAGAGAGGTTCTGTAATGAGGAGTGCTAAGTGCATTCATGTCATGTTGCTAGGAAAGCTGCCAGAGAATGGTCTGAATTCAACTTCAGAACACAGCAGACTACAGAACCCACATGCAGGATGGGGCTGCCTAAGAGAATAGCAGAAAGTCGATACACATTCACCAGCCAGGTGTCCTTCAGCCAATGACGGTGGTGCTGGCTGTCCTGGTTAACCCCTCCGCCTGGCTGTGACGACTCCTAATTGAATCCGCAGAAGTATCCATCAGTTCAGATCCAATCAAATGTGTTACTAGAAACTGCTGATGATGCCACAGATTCCAGGGTGTGAGGTCAAATGGAGTTTATGGTTATACACGCATGTCTTTGTATTTGTTTAAATGGGTATTCCTCAGTGTGTGGTTAGTGTGGTCTCTTGTTACAGGGAAAAAGAGAGGTCACAAACACAAATCAGCGAGTACATGACAAACAATTTCCTCCTTTGAAAAGCACTGTCTTGAAATGGACATTGTGTGTTAATTTTCAGAACAACGGCTCATTCTTTCTGATATGCGGTCTGCTTTTCAGATGAAAGACCATCACTACAGACCACTTACTCTGTCATATGCAGACTCTGTCTAAATCCACCCCTTTACAGCGAGTCTAGAACATCAAATGCCAGTGGATTTATTCTCCCACCCGCTCAATCTTGAGGTCCTCCAGTCATTACTCTGGATTAGCCTATAAACGCACGTACAATCTCTGTTCTCTCTCTGCGCTCTTACTGCAGATACCACATCTGAAACATCTGACAAGAATTTCATTTTCTATTAAAGTTCAAAGCAAGTCTTGTCGATGTCGGAAATAAATAATGTGCCACCTCATTTAGCACACGCTCTCTATCACTCATATTTTGTGGAGGACTGAACTATCAGATAAAAGTGAATGAAAGGGATTTTCCAATGGGCTGCAAAAGAGATGTGGATTTTTCATTCTTTATAGAAGCATTTTTACAGTTATAAAATGCTTGTCTTTTCTTATTTAGCCAACACTTAGATCAAGCTGTTTAGAATGCACAAAAGCAAGGACATGAATAGAAAGCTTGAGAGTTTCCTGAAAGCACATCAAGATCAAAGAATCAAATGTTAACATGCAAAGACAGAGTGAGGAATAATGTTGTTTATCACCATGTTTTGAATGTCAACCATGTTTTAGCAGCCAAATTCAATAAAGAAATAGTGCAAACTAGATAAGGCCGCAAACATGTGACCATTTGCAATTTGATCACAATTTGTGACCAAGTAAATGTATAAATAGACGCACAAAAAAAAAAAAACTTTACTGTAGTGAAGTAATAATACCGGACGAGCCCCCAGATATTATATAGATGTAAGCTGTATGTTTTATGAGCTGAAATTTGCCTTTTTTCTACTGGACATACCATTGGTATATACATTAACAAAAACTGAATGAAATTTTAAATATTCAAGAAAAAGAAAAAGAAAAAAAAGTAACAAGTTTCTGCTCTAATTTAGGCAAGGCTGCTGGCATTCTGTAAACTGACGACCCCTGAACATTGAAATATATTTAACAGGTGAAAGTTGAATAAAAACAATGAATATTGTTCTGAGCAGGGACAACTAACGCAGACGGCACTGATGTTGGGGGAAACCAGACATAGCATAAGAGAGAGACAAGAGACAAATTTAGGGAATTAAAAAGGACAAGAAGAGAGGAAAAAGTGGGATACATACGGTAAGTGATTGATATTAGGAAGGACAGGGGGAAATGAAATAAGACCTTGAAAGCAAGAAGTAGAAATCAAGCATATGACAGAGGAGGAGACAGACAGATGAAGACAAAAGGACACAAGTCGAGAGAGAGAGAGTGTGTGCTCTGGTCTATTTGAAGTACAGATAAGCTGCAGCAGAGTGTGAGCTGAGACAGTTGGCAGCACAGTATGCTAGGGCAGGCAAAGGGCTGATCTGTGCGTTCATGTGCTTGTGTGTGTTTAGGTAGTTGGCAGGGAAGTTAGACGGGGCAGAGGAGCATATCTCTGATCGTTTGCTGCAAGTCAAACCAAACCAGTCACATTGGGCCTCCCACAGCTGAATTAAAGGGTTAGTTCAGCCAACCATGAAGATTCTGTCATTTACTCACACTCATATTGTTCCAAACCCATGTGATTTTCAACTTAATATGTTTTGTAAATGACCTGATAATTTGTTAAATAGAATTTGTACAGACATTATTGCTTATGTGTCTTATATTTGCATTGAATTGTTGGTTTTCCCTTTTTTATTGTATATTGTGCATCTCACTAAAAGGGTTAAAGGTAAATGATTTAATATTTATTGCTTAGTAGTAATTGTATAATCTGAATTACACATTGTCGTATTGGTTATTAGTATGCTGCTTTTATTGTTTAATAATGGTCTCATACAGTGTTTGTTTGTCTTTGTGATTTTTTGGGGGATACATCATTTAAGAAGTATTGACCATTAATTCAGTGGGGTAGCAACATGTATCCCCCAGCTCATACATTTGCATATATTTCATACTCATTTGCATATATTTAATGCCATAATTTAGCAGGAATATTACAGAAATTGTGTGGCATCAAATGTGTGTGTGAGGGTGACATAAGCCTGAAGTACTACTGTACCTAATTCTAAACCCCACTGGTGATACTGTAAGTGTGAACGTTCTAACATGTTCGAGTACAAGTGCATGTCTGTATGTCTTTTTTTTTCTTGAGTGTGTAACGTGCACTGCGTCCAGGCCAGATGAGACTGATCTGTGCTAGCAGCTCCCTCGAGCCCTCCAGACCTTGTGTGTGGAGCTTTCATTCTTCTAGTGGAAAGCAGCTGACCCCTGTCCACCCCTCTGAATGCCATCTCTCACCCTCTCTCTTTTGATGTCCCTCTCTCTTTTTCTCACATCCCTCTTACTTCCTCTAAGGCTTTTGTTAAGGCCCTGCTGTTTGGTACACTGTGTCCATGCAAAGAGGATCAATATCCCAATCAGAGCTCAGGAGAGTGAACAGAAGTGGCGGCTGGGAGAATATCAGAGCAAAATTGATGCGTGATCACTGTCCATGCGAGACACTGTCCACTGTCCAACCCTTACCTGCTGGCAAAATGCTCAATCCGGCTGTGTGTGTCCGCATGAGGCAGCCTGGGAGATGAGCAGGGTCTGTAAAACCACAAACACACACACACACACACGCCTGTTAGCAAAGTAGCTTGATATGAATGAATGCCTGTGGCCAGGATGGGAAACCAGCTAAACCAGCTGAAGGCCAGCTTGTCAAGGCTGGGAGAACAGCTTAACCAAGCCAAGACCAATAAATCAACTAGGCTTTTTTTTTTTTTTGACATTATTCAACAAAACTTATCTGGTTTAAAGGATGTTTAAAGTTCCCCTGACATGAAATTTTCACTTTCTGGGGTTTTTAACATTAATATTAGTCCCCCTAGCCTGTATTTGGTCCCCTCGTGTCTAGAAATGATGTCATATAGGGGAAAGGTTACCTCCCCCTTCTCTGCTTTGCCCGCCCAGAGAATTTGGCTCGCCCATGAGAAAACGAGCTAGGAACAGGAAGTACGAACGCGCCTGCGCGATTTTAGTTTTTCCTAGAGAAATAGCTTTGAGATTTGAGTTTTTCCTCGAGAGATATCATGGCTTGCAAACGAGCGAAGCATGGCAGTTGATCAGTGTTCGGATGTACAAATGAACACAAAAGTATTTTTTAGTTCCTTCATCCGAGCCTCTGATTTTATTTTCTCTGGAAATGCGCCGACAAGTTGTGTATGGTCCAAACATTTCACCGACGACTGTTTCCTCAACTCGATGAACGTCTGAAAATAAATCGATCGAGCTACCAAGCAACAATTTCTGATGTGTAGCCTAATTGTTCAAGTTCAGACAGGTAAGTTAATCTTTCTCTCAAAATCGTTCAATACTGTTTATCCATCAGTAAGTCAAGCCAGTGACTAAAATATCAACTTCACATCGTTTCTTTTAGTAGGATGAAAATAATCTTATTTAAATTCTGAACAAATTATACAGAAAGCGATCAAAGAACAATCTTTCCACACAGCGCGAGTTTATCTGGACAACTCGTTACGAAATCAAGGACGCGCGTTACACTGAACAACGAAGCTCTTACTGTATTAGGTATTTACATCATCGTGTTTGCATTGGGGAAAGCATTAGAGAGAGTAGAAACTGAGTTGCAATGATAAGATCTTCATTCTCGCGATCAACAGACTGTCATCTGCTTGCTCAATGCTCAGCACGGCAACATTTTATGTGATGGGAATAGATATAAATACTTTCTCACGATTCGTTAATCTCGATAGCTGTAATAGTAAAAACGTATAATAGCGGTAGTAAAAGTATTCGAGAAAGTTTCGCATGTAATACATAGCTATTTCATATGCAAGCATGTCAGCCAATCACAGCAGTGGCCGGTTCCACTGAATCCCACAGAGACACGCCCCTTCAAACAGAGCGTTCAAATCAGAGGCTAAAATCAGGCTAGGAAAATTGCCTTTTATTTCTAAATTATGTCTATTTTTGATCTAAAAAACATACTAACATTATAAGGGCAACCCAGGAAACATTATAAAATAATAAAATAACCCCATGTCAGGGGACCTTTAAATATTTTTACTGGGAAACAAGACAAAAAAAACAAGATGGCCTAAGATGGCTTGTGGGTCTTAGCTAGTCTGCCAACCTAGACAGGCTGATCCATTTGCTTTATTTAGAGGATTTTTGGGCGCGTTCAGATATTTAGGAAGGGGAAACAGCTGGGCGACCAGCTTAATTCAGCCAAGACCAGGAAACCATCTAGGTTAATTAATTTATTTACCAATAAAATGTCTCTGGTTTTAAGGATGTTTAGATAGTTTTACTTGAAAATAAGACAAAAATAAGCTGTCCTAAGATGATCTGCGGGTCCTTCCAGCCTGGACAAGCTGCTGTTTAGCTGATTTACCCAGACATCCAGCTGGTCTCCCAGTCTGACCAATCAACAGACAAGCTAAGGCTGGTTTAAGATGTTTCTTTTCAGCAGGGAAGAGAATTATTTTTTGCAGTGCACTGCATTCAGTCCCACAGTTCTCCACTTATAAATCTTCAAAAAGAACGCAACGACACTTAGGTGTGATTCTCATCAGCGGAGACAGGAAGTCAGACTCACGTCTCAGAGCTCTCCACCTCCAGTACTGATTGAACAGGCAGGTAGCCCCTCTGAGGGTGTTTACTAAAATACTGCTTTGAGCGGAACTTGTTCTTTAGTGTCTTCGCAAAGTCCCTCATCTTCTCGCCTGAGGTCGTCTGGAATGATTCAGAAAGAGAGAGACAGAGAAAGAGCCAGAGAGAAAAATGAGAGAACGAGCGATTGAGACACAAAACATCCTCTTCGTAACATTCCTCCGACACACAGCCAGTACATCAGTTTCTACACAGAACATTTGTCTTCCTCCCATCTCAATCTATCATCTCTTGAGCAGCTACAGAAAGCCGGAGCATAATAAAGACGCCCACCTATAAAACTCAGACTGGAGCATGGGAAAACCATTAAGCAAATGGCCTTATGCTGTATTTCACTGCAGGAGATCAATTTGGTTCAATTCATATTTATTTTGCGTAGTGCCTTGAATAATAGTGATTGAATTTGAAACCTTTGAGCAAGCACAAAGCTGCCAGCTGGCAAGGAAAAAACCTCTGCAAGTAAAAAAGCATATGTACCGGGGTGTAGTATTCCATGATGGGGTAGTGTAGTTTCTTGCCCTTGGTAGTCCGGCCTGTCAGAAAACACGTCTGGCAGATGTCCACATTGAACTGTTTCAGACTTCGGTATCTGAAACAGTGATGAGGCGGAGACACATTTTATATCCAAATGTAGATGTGTTCATTTTAGGATTACGAATAGATTAAAATAATGAATCATGACTACCCTGCTGACAATAACAACTTAAGGCTAGCAGGGTGGTTTATGCTGCATAATGATGGTTTAGTAGTAATGGTGGATCTTGTGTTCACCAGCAAAACTTGTCTCTTTCTAGTGAAGTAGGTTTACTAAGATAACCTTCTGGTTAAACTAATCAAGGTGGGGACATAAAAAAAATTAGCATACAAATCAATATTACTTACTGTACACTACCATTCAAAAGTTTGGGTTCGATAAGATTTTTTGGAAGAAGTCTCTTATGCTCACCAAGGGATACAGTAAAAAATGGTCATATTTTGAAATATTATTACAATTTATAATTTAGAAGAACTGTTTTCTATTGTAATATATTTTCAAATGTAATTTATTCCTGGAATGGCAAAGCTGAATTTTCAGCAGCCTTTATTCCAGTCTTCCGTGTCACATGATCCTTAAGAAATAATTTATGCTGATTTATGCTAATGCTGATTTGGTGCTCAAAGAAAATGTTTTATTATTATCATCCATGTTGAAAACAGTTGTGTTGCTTTAATATTCTTGTAGAAACCATGATACATTTTTCAGGATTCTTTGATGAATAGAAAGTTCAAACGATTTTTACTGTCACTTTTGATCAATTTAATGCATCCTTGTTGAATAAAAGTATTAATTTATTATTGACTCCAAACTTTTTAATGATAGTGTAAATATTGCACCTATTGCACCATATATATATATATATATATATATATATATATATATATATATATATATATATATATATATAATAGGTGTAATATACTGATTCTGATACTGAATATTTAAAATGAATATATAATATATATATATACACACACACCTCAGCCCTATTTATTTTACAAACACAAAACCAGTCCATTAACAACCCATGTATATTACTCCCCGTGCAGTTCTCTAATATAGTGCTATTACCACAAAACCTTTGATCAGCTGAAAGAACAATCATTTATTTTGACTAGCTAAAGAACACAGATAGATAGAGAGGTCTGTGCCGTCTTTCTCCAAGAAAAGACTGGCACTGCAGCAGCTCACCTGAAGCCCTTGATAGGGCACTGCTTACAGATATAGCAGCGTGCCTGGTGCATCGCGGTCTCAGCCACAGTCACCCGGTGCAAAACAGGGAGCCACACCACCGACTGAGGCTCCAGAATCATCCACTCCAGGAAGTGAGACACCTCGATTGCTGACTTACCTGGAGCCTAGAGGTAGATACAGAAGATGCACAAGAAAGAGAGCACAGAGCAACAAGTAGCATGAATCAAGATACCCAGCGGCCATATTGTTCATTATGCATGCCTAATTAAGCACCAAAACATCTTCTGGTAGCTGATGGGCACAAGCACCTTATTAGAGCACATGCCCTTAAAAGAACTCATGTGATACGGGGGAATCACGGCCCCATGAAAGGGAAGGATACAATCTCAAAGAGGTCGCCCCGTGTTACAGTGACCTGGTGGGAAACGGATGACAGGCAATAACCCTAATAAAATAGGATGACATAAAAATCTGGAACGTGCTAAATTCTCATTAAATACGCATCGAAGATGCATTAAAAGGTTGATTTCCTTTGGGCGCACTCTGAAGCTTGGGCAGATATTTATAATTAACATGAGTATCTCTAGCGTGCCCCTTAGTCGTCGCTGGAGTGTACAGTCTAAGAGGGCACGGCAGTGTGTGTGTGTGTGTGTCTTTAACAGTGCTCGGGGTCTGGGATTGAGACCAAAGTCTGCAGTGCAGCGCTGAGTGGAAAACTTCAGAAGTTTCAATGAAACAAAAAAAAAGGATCTTCAGGATCTTCTAAACAGTCCACACCACAGGGAGAGCCAAGAGTATCTCATGAGATGGTCCATAACTTCAAACAAAGTGAACCAGTCTTTTCATCTACGAACATGCTGCAACACATGCCAGATGGCTGATCTGCATCGTTCTTGGCCTGTCATGATTAATGCAGCTGGGTGAAAAATTGTGTAATTGTGTAATTACAGTGGCATTCCTTCCAGTAATAAAAAGGCAGACACGGAACAAAAGTGAAAAGGAATTTTAATTACGTGTGCCTGCAACTGCACACATGTTCTTAGAACAGGATTTAATTAAGGACGGGCACACTAAGAATGAAAGGTTTAAGGCCATAGTACAGGAAACCAATATCATAATCAGCCCTTCAGTAGAATGAAATGCCAGAAGGTCACGTTACACTGTGATGTCCCTGCAATTTCTGAATTACAGCCTCATAAGAGTGAAGAGAGATGAGATGATGTCAACTTTTTTACTAATTCCTATTACGTTGGTATTTGAACTTAAACTCTTTCAAAAAAACTTGATTTCACATATGTAGTTGAGTTTTGAAATGAGTCAGAAAGCAATTCATAATGCATTATCTGTCTAATTATTATATATTAAGCTGCTATGTCTAGCATTAAGATGTTATTAAATGATAAGATTAAAAAATCGATTTTTGCTTTCAGGTAAATTAACATTACAATCAAAAATTAGGGGTCAGTAAAACCTTTATTTGTTTTTAAAGAAATGAATACTTTCTTCAGCAAGGATGCAATAAACTGATCAAAAGTCACATTAAAGACTTACATTGCAACAAAAAAAGAATTCTGTTTCAAATAAATGCTGTTCTTTTGAACTTTCTATTTATGAAAGATGTTTTATATGGTTTATCTATGGTTTATGGTTTATACTGGTTGAAACTCTTACAAAAACCTGATAGCAATTAATAATTAATAATAAGTGGTCTTAATATATATTTTTAAAAAGTACATATCTTCTGTGGAAGTCTCAGGACCAGAAAATGTTCGTCCAATCATTGCATTCGGATAGGATGTCATACCTGACTGTCAACCTATGTATTTCCATACCTCCTCACACCCTGCTCACGCAGACATAATGAACACACGTCTTCAGCGTTTCATGAGGCTGTGCAGAGTTGTAGACAGACAATCACAGAGCGCCGCAAACAAACAGCAGTCGCCTTTTACAGTTCCTCCTGAACCAAAACAATGAGCTTTTGCTACGATCACGGCATAACTACCGTGATTAAAAGATGGAAACTCAGAGCAGTTCATGTCCTCAGACTCAGATGTATGCCTTTCTATGGCAACACTATCAAAGGCTAAATGAATCTGCAGCAGTCAGGTGGAACAAGTCAGTGCTCTTTAAGTTGTTTACGTTTATAATTATTGTAATGTTATGTGCTTTGAGAGGTAATTTAAGGCTGTCTTTCGTGACACTTTGCAGACTCATGTATTTTGGAGAAGGCATGGCTTTGGAGACGCTCTGAAGGGAGGGGGGTCTTTTAATTTCAAAGCTAGCTTGCTATTGCTAGCCTCTCCGAAATTGCCTACCCCAACTTTAAGTCAAGGGTGTGATTTCTGCGCCTCTTGTGTCAATACTTCCAAAGCTAAAATAGCCTACTTCCAAACAGTTTTCCCAAACATTTGCAAATTAGTCTCTCCAGTTATGCCATTAGCTGAGAGGATGATATGTGTTTACATTTTTGGAGAAAAATAAAACTTTGAATGACAGAAGGAAGCATTTTTACATAAAAACAGCTAACTTTCACAAGATTTTACAATATGATATAGTTAAAATCAAATACTTTCCTGTATCCTATTTACAGTATATTAAAAGACAAAAGTATAATAGCTATTCCTGGTTGATTTCTCCAAAAAGTTTAACCTGCGTCTCTGTGGTGCTATCAAAATATGCAGTGGCAGACAAGAGTGTTTGAGAAAACGTTTAAAAATAGCTATTTTGTTTTTGCTATTCTGTTTAGTGTCGTCGTTAATGGCATTGAAATTACACACTTCACTTTTAATGGCACAGATGTTAGAAGTTTAACTCTATTGTCCCCTTGAGTGTGCAAGTTTGATACTGGCACAATACAGGAGAAATACACATTTAATAAGTTCAACAGGACAGCCAAGCACTGACCAAGCATTTGTGTCGAGTAGGTTTCTGGCCAGTGACTCACTAAAACAGCTCTTTAATCTCTGTACGTTCCAGCCCAAAAACCCAGGAGAAGCAGAGCACAGTTAGGGCAGAAAATGCAAGGTAGGGAGAGAGAGAGAGAGAGAGAGAGAGAGAGAGAGAGAGAGAGAGAGAGAGAGAGAGAGAGAGAGAGAGAGAGAGAGAGAGAGAGAGAGAGAGAGAGAGAGAGAGAGAGAGAGAGAGAGAGAGAGAGAGAGAGAGATGTGACAGGCAATAAATAAGGAAAGTGTGAAAGTGTGCCTCTGGTACAAATATTTAAGAAGATTTGCTCATCACAGAGAGCAAGGGTCTGTGTAGAGGGAGGCCCTTTCATCATCTGACCAGAAAGCATATCAGAGAAAAAGAGAGATACTGAATCTCTGAGATACTGTAATGAGATACTGATAGAGAATCTTGTTAGCTGAAGAAGTCTTACCATCCGAAAGCAGCTGCGGACACTGGGCTCCACGTTGCTCCCCCCAAATGCCGCCACCTCCCCGAGCTGCCGAGGGATCTGAATGGCCTCGTGCAGTAACAGACTGAGATGTTTCTGATCTGTCAGTCCACTTGGACCACACACCTGTCTGAAAAGGTCTGCAATACATAAGCAGAAAACCTAGTTGAATACTGCACTAAAAGAAGACACTAGGGAAAAGAAGCTTTGTGCCAGTGTGCAGAAGTCTGGAGGTGGGAAAATTGAGAATGTGTGACTTAAATGGTTTTAGGTTATATAGGTGTGAGGCGAGATGTCTAACACTTTGATGTGCAATGTATTGCCACTGCCAAAATAAAATTCTTAACCATTGTTTTTTTGTGTGTGTTGTGTATATACAGTATATATATATATATATATATATATATATATATATATATATATATATATATATATATCTTAATTCAAGATATATTCTCCAATAACATGTATATATATAGTTTGTGTGTAAATAAGTGCATCTATCTGGTTTTAAAGATGTTTAAATCTTATTTTAATGGAAAATACAAATATTTGAAAAACTTGGGGTCTGGTGAGATATTCATGATGCATGCACTGATTTAAATGTGGACAAAAGGCTAACATTAGCCGAGAAACCTAGAACAGCTCATACAGTGTGTGTCAGGAAGCCATCAATGAGCAGAATGGCCCTGACAGGAGTGAGAATATTCTCTGCAGTGCCAGTAAAAATAGTACTATCTAAAGTGGCTGGCACACATACACATTCACACCCAAAGGCAAACCAGCCTCACACATAGTCAAGTCCAAGGACAGATTATGGACCGTGACAATCAGTGCCAGAGCCAGGGCCTCTAACTGAGATGCCGACTGTGGCCCAACACCTAGAAACAAGCCACTGCAGATGTAAAATTGATATAGAAAAATTGATACAGCGCTTTATGCCAGTGGCTCGTTGCATGATATGAAATAAACACAGAAATGAGTGATGTTATGTTTTCCTGGCCACTCTTTAGCACTAACAAAAACCTTATTGGAGATCTGATGTTGTATACTAGTCATTGCACACCGTTGTCTCTTTTGCAACATAATGCACACAAGGTGTGTTTATTTTTGCAACTTGCGTTTGTGACTTTAAATATCCAAATGGGGACTTTATGATAAAGTCTATTCCTAGTTGGAAAATCTAGTAGCTGGTTATTAGTTTGGTTTAAAGGCCTAGGTATACTTATTTCCCGCATTCCGCTCAGTCTTGTGCACAGTTGAGTGCGCAAGCATTTCAAAGTATACTCCTTTGGCCGTGAGTGCAGAAAGACGGGTTTGGCGCATGTACACTATCTAGTGGACATTATTTTCAAGTTCTCAATTCCCTCGCACATGTGCTGTTGTATGCGCACCATCCGTGCGGACACAAAAATTGGGCTGCATAAGGACAGCGTGCGTGGACAGCCAAAGTATACTTTGGACTTAAGCTTGTCATTGGCTGGTATAAGCTTGTATACCACCAACAAACCAGCTACTTATGGTGATCAAATTGGATTTGGAACATGGTGGCTGGTCAACCAATTAATGAACAGTTTGGACCAGTTAATGACCAGCTTAAACCAGATAAAAACAAGCCACCTTGTTCCAAAAACAGCTTAAACAGGAACAAATCGCAATTGCCACAAGGGCCCTGCAAGAGCATAATTTGTCCATGGCTAATAGGTCTCCATCTACACATTCTTAGTAAGGGTGGATGTGCTCTTTACTACTGAAATGAAAAAGTAATTGATGACAGAGAGCAAAATTGATCCTTTAATCAGTGCTCACTCTCTTTACTGATAAAACTCACATTTTAGGCAATGTTTGGGTGTGATAACCAGATTGTATTCTGACCCAAGGATGTCCACCTCTGGCTTGGTTGGACTCTTCTCCTCCAATGCTTTCTGCAGTGCACTGCACATGACTCTTATTTACTGGGTCCTGATTGTGTCTGCGCTGTCAAAGTACCCTCTAACCCTCCCTTCCAAAAGCAGATTTAGGCCACGGATGAAATTTTACAGCATCAGAGAAAGCCGAAAGAAAAACCTCATGAGAGAAAAACTTTGCACTGACACATTTTTTTTTTTTACTTTAGTGATACTGGACCACAGATTCCAATAAAGGTAAGAGGAGGTGTGTGGATCGGGAGTGGCTGACATTGTGGGGACAAAAAGTCCAAACAAGGACAGTAAAACTTTAAATCACCTTCACTACAATTCACATTTGGGGTCAGTAAGATTTTATTTTTAAGAAATTTAATTTATTCAGCTAGGACGCATTAAATTGATCAAAAATGGCAGTAAAGACATTTATAATGTTACAAAGGATTTCTATTTTAAATACATTCATCAAGAATCCTGAAAATTTATTTCAGTTTCCACAAAAATACTAAGCAACACAACTATTTTCAATAAAAAGAAATAATAATAATTAAGAAATAATAATAATAATAAGAAGAAATATGTCATGAGCACAGAATACGAATATTACAATGATTTCTATGGATCATGTGACACTAAAGACTGAGTAATTGGCTGATGAAAATTAAGCTTTGCATCACAGGAATAAATTACATTTTAAAATATATTAAAATAGAAAACAATTATTTACATTTATAATAATGTTTTAGTCTTTAATGTATTTTTGATCAAATTAACGCAGCTTAAAGTGAGCGCAAGTGACTCAAAAACATAAAAAAAATCTTCACAACCCCAAACCTTTGAACAGCAGTGTATGTTGTAAGGATCAGCTTAAAGGGATAGCTCACCCAAAAATTAATTCTTTAATTAATTACTCACCCTCATGTTGTGAAATCTGAGACCTTTTTGTCCCTCCATAGACAGCTACGCAACTACCACTTTGACGCTTCAACAAGTTTATAAAGAGACAATAAAACTAATCCATATGAATTGAGCGGTATGTTTTGGTTCATTTTTTGAAGAGACTCGATCACTTTATATGATAAACAGATTTAATTTAGGTTTTTATTCACATTTAAACATTGATCAGCGAACATAAACAGAAGCTCAACCGAACATACTTGGTGCGCGAGAACAAACCTCTTGTAGAAGCTGAAGAACCTCTGAAGAACGTGCTGCGTAACACAAGAGAATGGATCTCATTGGTTCTCGTACGTCAAGCGAACATGCTTGAGCTTCCGTTTACCACAACTGATATGTGAGTTGATGAATGTTCACAAAAACCTAAATTAAATCTGTTTATCATATAAAGTGATTGAGTAAAAAAGAGCCTAAATTCAATCAGTTCATCATATAAAGCGATTAAAAAAATCTGGACTTAACCACTCAAGTCAATTCATATGGATTAGTTTTATGATCTCTTCATGAACTTTTTGAAGTGTCAGTGTCAGTTGTGTAGCTGTCTATGGAGGCGCAGAAAGCTATCAGATTTCATCAAAAAGATCTTCATTTGTGTTCCGAAGTGACAGTCTTACTGGTTTGGAACGACATGAGGGCGAGAGGAGTAATTAATGACAGAATTTTCATTTTTGGGTGAACTACCCCTTTAAAAACATAATAAATCTCTACTCACATTTATACTTTTCCTGGATGTCTGCGTTGCATAGAATAACCAGGCCCGTCTTGAAGGAGAGCACTCGGATCTTACCATTACGACCACTAGAGAAAGGAACAAAGCCAAAAATATGAAAGAAATACAAACACAATTTCAACATTCAAAACTTCACTGAGGTTCTTCTACATATTGAAATGATCCTGTCAGTTAGTATGACTGTGTAGTAGGTACCCAGCACCAAACAGAACTGAAAGGCCCAGCATCGTGTGGTACAGTCGGCTCAATGTCTCACCATGGATGTACTACACAATGCAGAAAAATCATCTCAGCAACTGCCTCGGCTCACTACTGAAGTCGTTAACAAGCTATCACGGATATATGGTTAATATATGAAGTTCTGGAGGAGTTACTTCCTCCAACCCATCTGAATCCTCAATGAGGATGCTGCCAGGGGCTGGTACTGCTAGCTGAGCAAAAAAGTGATGCAGCAAGTATATATACAGAGTGAACTTTTCAGATTTGTATAGTGGTACATTTCTTGCCTTATTCAATGTTGTATGCTTACAGGAAAAGACATTTCACATTTACTGCACCAAACAGACCTATCAAAAAAGACTAAAGCAGGTCAGGAAGCATTTGAGCTCCGCTGAGATCAAGATCTCACCAACAAATCCAAACAGATTGCTGTACAGATCCAAAAATATTCTAGAAAACTGATCAAGCACTACCAAATCATATTTTGCTGTGTGTAACAAGGAATCCCCTGTCAGTATTGCTACTAAAGGGAATATTTCCTACTTTGTTTGGCTTTCTTGTTTGACTGAGAGCATTTCATTATCATCCTCATGCATGCTGCTCATTCTTATTCACATTCGTTTGTAGCTAAACAAAAAAGCAATTACTACTAATTATTCACAGGGTGAGAGCTCCAGTCATTAGCAGTAGGTAGTTAAGAGTCTGGTATATATTTGAGACACATTCATGATGGTTAATAGAAAACCAAATATATATATTTTTTTTATGTTGGCAAAGAAGGCAAAAGCTTGGCACAGTATATGATTTCTAAAGTCAAGCAGAGAACATTTTTAACTTCTACAGTCTGATTAGTTGCCTGCTGGTGATTTCTCAGTGACATAGTCATAATTTCATTCACTTAACTGTGGAAAAAGGAGAACACCTAGGAGAACACCCTTTGCCTATTGGTAAGAGATTTAAGAGTCAATAAGAGTGTCCACACTTGGCAGGTTCTTAGAAACTAGTCATTGTATTCATGTTGTTTTGAAAATGTACACAATTTCTTATACTTATTAATTTGACTTAACTTAGTTAAGTAGTATACTTAATTTAATTTGTGAAATTTCCTTAAACAATCTGTGTGCAAAAACTTGCGGTACATTTTACTTTGAAACCTTGAATATATTTGAGTGTACACATCTAAATCATTACTTTTCGAAACCGGTTTAAAAATATATTTTTCTAGTTTTCTATATTTTTCTAATTCATAAATATCATTACGTTGTTGGGAAGTCAAATATCATCACAGTTTACAACAAACTAACCTTGTGTTGTCATAAAAAGGTCAGACTTTTGGATATTTTTTTTTTTTTGTCTGTCTGTACCACATGACTTTGAGAATTCAAGAATTTATTTTTTCTCTTTATTATAATAATAAGACCAATGTTGTTATTATTACTTCAAATTAAAACTTCTAAAAAGTGGTTTTGTTAATTTAAATGCTGAAATAAAACTAAATTTAAATATTAAATGAAAACGAACAACTTACAGAATAAATGAATGCTAAATAGAAATATCAAAAAACTAATATAGCAAATCAAATTATAAACATTTTTTAAAAAGTATAAAAAAATAACACTGATCAGAACAGTTTTTTTTTACTTTTCCTCCTAAAAATATCACAATTATTTTAATGCAGAAATGATTTGCATTTTAAGGCATTTTTAAATAAATTAACAGATAGGACAAGAGCGTCATGTCATAGACCCTTAAATCACAGAAAAAGGGCGCACCTTATTCACAGGCTGTGACTGACCAATAAAAGTGTCTCGCAGACAGCAGGAGGGCGCAGAGTTGGTTTGACATCATTTGTGGGAGCAGGTCAAAGGGGTTGTGGGTGACATTACCGTCAGTACCTGTCGTAAACGTTCAGCAGCCAGTTGAGACACATGTCGACGCACAGGGGGATATTGATCAAGACGGATCTTTCTTCCTCTAGTCTCTCGTACAGGGAAGTGAGTGCGTGGATGACCTCGACCACATCCATCACATGTTCGGCGTGCTGCAACTCCTGTTCTCTAAACACGTCCACCACGCTGCTCAGCTTCAACAGGTCCACTAGAAAACACACACACACACACACACAAAGGGCAGATGCTTATTACTGCATGTGGAGTGTTAACTAACGGGATTTGACTGTTCTAAGATAAATGTATCTAGCCATCTCTAGTGCAGCAGTGAGATTTTAGGGTAAAAAGACTGTATGCTGATGTCATCCCAATTGGATAATGAGCTGAAATATGGAAGAGGTAGAGTGGTCATGGTGCTTTCAGGGTTAGGTGGGTAGACAGAAACACTAACAGGCTTTTTGTCAATGCTCTTTTTATACAGCCATCCTCAATCATCATCTCAGTTTCTATAGCAGCCCGGTTATTAATTCGGCTAATGACATAGAGTAGCAAACCAGGAGTCAAGGTGAGAGAGAGAGAGAGAGAGAGAGAGAGAGAGAGAGAGAGAGAGAGAGAGAGAGAGAGAGAGAGAGAGAGAGAGAGAGAGAGAGAGATGTTATCAGGTGTTAGCAGGTGAATGTGTGTGTGTGTGTGTGTGTGTGTGACCTCAGGGTGTTTCCCTACTGCCCACCACAGTGACTTCAGTAATGTGTGTGTGTTTATGTATGTTAAAACACTGTGGTATCAAAATGTTCACAGATATTCTAATCTGTTACACTGTTCACTTGTACAATTAATTTAATTTGTACATTTAAATTTAATTTATGTTATAAGAGAGATTTATGTTATAATATTCAAGTATTTTGATGTCTTTATAATTTTCCTATGTATTCCAAGCTTTGGCAATATTGTAATATATACAGTCATGCCAATAAAGCAATTTGAATTGAATTGAATTGAATTGTTATCCTGAGAGACACTGAAATGCACATGCCAAGCTCAATAGTGGGTTCAACCTACTAAAGTAACCTGAACAATGTATTCATGTTTTCTTCATGAAGATCATTCTACAAAACAGGTACATACTTTATGTGAAAAATGTTCACATATGTACATACAGTATGTGGGAAAAAAAAGACTATCAACAAACAGCTGATGGCAAATTTTACTGTGCTACTATAGACAGTTGTGTGTTTGTGTGTGTGTGTGAGGTATTTCCTGTGGGGACATATTGTAATAATTTACATAGTAGGCTAATACCAGAACTTTTGATCTTGACAAGTTTTGGTCCCGGAAAACAGCTCATAAAATCATATTAAATTAGTTTTTCTTTTTTTTCTTTTTTATGTAAAAATGTAGAAAGTTTTCTGTGAGGGATGTTTATGGGATAGACTATACAGTTTGTACAGTATAAAAACCATTATGTCTAAAGAAATTCCCCATAAAACATGGAAACCATGTGTAACTAAAATTTTACTGAAAACAGGTTAATGGCTATCTGTGATTTTAGTTAACAATATTAACAAATATTAATTCTGAAATTTATTTTTTATATTTTGTGAAATGGCATTATCATTTCAAGATGTGAACATTTCAACGACTAGCTAAATCACTTTTTTGACAAGTCTGTGGGTTGAGGACAATCTTAAACCCATTACCTTGATTTTTTTTTTTTTCAGAAAAGCAGGACCTTGTAGTTTCAAAACCCTGAGGAATAAGTCTACAATGTCAAATTAAACTGTAAAACCATCAACCTTAACAACTTTCTGAAGTATGTCTTTAGAAAGTATGGTACAATGCATTTTACATTTTTACTTCATTACTTGATTAAATACACTTATCAAATGGGAAACGGACAAGTTCTATAGAAGAATCCATTTATCCTGTTGACCAAACGATTCAAAACTCTCCACAAAGGAGTCAAGTTTGGCTAGTTAGCATGGCCAAGCCCCTGCTGGTAGATGTTGTACAACTACATCAGTTGCACACAAAAATAATATTTTACAGTTGACACAAGAGGCAAAAAAGCTGATCTTTTGCAAGACACATATGAATCACAAATACTTCAGTGTATTTAAACAGACGTTTTACCACTGCGCTCGATTATTTTTTGTGAAAGGCTCTTAAAAAGCATAAAACGGACTTATACGGATCCGTGTATATTTATATTCCGTGCACAGTGGAGGGGCTGAGGGAAAGTAGGGAACTGCCAACGAGAGAGAGCTCCTGTCTGGACAATGGCAGATAAACCTCCACCCGCAAAGCGTGTCACAGGGGGAACAGTGGTTAATTCCTTATGCAGACTTCTTAATTACCACCCCTGAAGAAGTACAATCACACCAATTATTAGGCTTAATTAAGCTGCATAAAAATCACTGGGCTCTAATGAAACCGACAGATCAGAAGCCCACAGCAGGGCCAGCCTCGTACAAGAATAATCAATGACTTGGGCTCAGAGAACAGGAGTGGAAAAGGGCAAACCAATGTGGGTGTTGCATTCTACATACATCTTAAAGCCTTCTGCACGTGCCTCAGCTTCATGGCCGTCCTGTATGCAGAGAACTTGATGTTATTCAGGTCCGCTGTGAGAGAACAGCAGGGGAGATGGGACAGTAAAAAGAGAGAATAACATAAGGAATGAGAAAAAAAGCTGCAAAGGAATCAGCAAACAGAGAGATGGAAAGCAATGTGTCACTTCAGTGGGGTTGAGCGGTTTATGCTCATACCGTGCCGGAGTGTTTAGACTACCTGGGTCACGTCGCATCAGATTAACACACACAGTAAACGCCTTTTAATCATTAATAATTAGAAGCTATGGTTGTGGCCCAGCTGCCCTCGGGTTAACACGAGAGCTGTCGACATCTCTGGGGTGGGAATGGGATGAAATATTAGATAATTAGAGGTCCAGGTAAAGAAATCACGCTCAGTGTAAGACCATCTTCTAGTTGGCGTATTTGAGCTTGTGTGTGTCCACATCACGGTTCCCCAGTGGGAAGTAGACACATAGAAGAAATAAGAGCAGAGTTTAACTGTCTCACCCAGAGCATGGTATAATTCAGTCATCTTTGGATGGTCCCAGCAGGTTGTCTGGGCCTGATGGCTATAAAAGTGGGGAGAAAGAGAGAGAAGTGAAGTAGTGAAGCCAAAAATAGAAAAATATAGAGAGAAGAGGGAGAACACATGCAAGAGAAACATTAAAGGAACAGTTCACCCAAAAATTAAAACTCAGTCATCATTACTCATTCTTTCATTATTTATTACCCTCGTGCCACTCTAAACCCATATGACTTTGTTTCCTCAATGCACAAATGCAAATTTTAATCATTAGGGACTGATAAATGTCTCCTCTGTCGCATCGTTGAAAGTAATTTGCATATTACACACCCAGGAACCGCTTTTCACTATTTGTGATAGAACAAAAAAAGCCATTGGACATGATGGTGCCATTTTAATTCTTGGGTGAATTATCCCTTTAAGTGTAGAAATGTTTTGAATATAAATCCATAACTATACAAATCCAAAAAATGCTACAGTAAAAACCTGTAAATTGTTTAATTGTGTTACCTATTTGTATGCATTGAAAAACTGTGGTTGTAAATATGTGTAATTTTATTGTAAAATACTATCATATTTTGTTTTTTTACAAGTAAATCTAACAATTACTGTATACTTTGCAGTGATGAAAAGTAAAAGCACTTTTCCAGAAGTCTCTGCATGACAGATCACTTATGATTTTAGTTGAAATAATTTTGTTTCTTCTGATTTTTGTTATCAGTAATGTACATTGGGTTGTTTTGTGTTTCACCTTCTGTAATTTGGTTATTGTTTATTGCATTATTTTAGTGTCATGTTTGTTACTCTTATGCTGTGTTTTGTCTTTTGTGTGTGTGTGTGTGTGTGTGTGTGTGTGTGTGTGTGTGTGTGTGTGTGTGTGTGTGTGTGTGTGTGTGTGTGTGTGTGTGTGTGTGTGTGTGTGTGTGTGTGTGTGTGTGTGTGAGAGAGAGAGAGAATTGGCCACGTTTTATGAACAGACCACTTATGATGAATCTAATTCATTACATTTAAGGTAAAATGCAGATTTTGATAGTTCAAGGAGATTGGAATATTCACACCATAATATATCACTTAATTTGATATGCAGTTATCAGTTGTAAAATATACAGGCATCAATACGCCATCCCGCAATATCTGAAACATTGCCATAGTATGCTGTAAGAGACAGAGAGCGAGCACTGACAACTACAGTGATCTCAAACAAAGATATCAATGTCACTAAGAGTCATACCCTCAAACATAAGGGTTTTCTTTATGACATTCAATGGAAAGCTTAAAGGGGTTATCGGATGCAAAATTCACTTTTATATGGTGTTTGCATATAAATGTGTCTTTGCAGTGTGTGGACAACCACCATACAATGAAAAAAATCCATTCAATTATTTTTTTTTTAATCCTCAAATACCCTAAACACTCTCAATAATCAAGCCGTTTGGATTTTCTGAGCAAGATGATGTCATATTGCTCATGCTCAGCCCACGACCGATGACGGACTATCCCGTATTAGCATATTTCTGCCCTCAGCCATTTGTATGTCCGCCAAGGCAGCACTTTACGTGTCTTGTGTCGACACCCCCCATGGAAGAGAGGGCTGGGGTGAGCAGTTGCTCATTACCATTTAAAGAGACATGCACCGAAACGGGTGGCTGTGAACAGGGCTGTTTTTGAGGAGGTAAAAAGGGTGTTGTTTTACACAACCATTGAGGAATTTTAACCAAAGTATGTTACAAACTTTAAGACCCTAAAGAATCATACCAACTTGTGGAAAATGGGCATCCGATGATCCCTTTAAATACTACACATGGCTTGAACAGGCAAGTAAAATAAGAGCTAGATAAATCTGATACATGTGTGCTACATGCTTTCCTGCAACAGCCACTCATGACTTCCTCCACTTTGCAGCCTATATTGTACCAGCAACCATGAAATAAATATATAAGATGAATAAATGATAGGAACAAATAAATAAGTTGTTAGAGGACCTGAAGAGGGAAGTTTGCCAGCTGTTCATTGACTCATCATTACCAGTGCTAGTGATTACATTGATTGGCAAGTGACATGAAAACCTTCTGTTGCAAAAGTTTTACACTGTGGCTTGTTCACATGGACCACCATGGTGTCCCTTCTCACCATTGGAGTTTTAAAAGCATGAAATGGATTTTTCCCTTTCTGCTCCCTTTGACGTCAGGGTTAGTCATGTGTTCTTGTCATTCTACCGGCCAATTGTAATTGCATCTGCAGTCATGACATCATTTCCTGTGACTTCAGAATGATTAGTTATATATGGCAGTCTGTGGCTTTCAAAATATGAATAATACTATAATAGCAAATAATTAAACTAAAATAACACTGATGGGAATCACATATCTTTTTAAATGACATATCATGCCCCTTTTCACAAGATGTAATATAAATCTATGGTGTCCCCATAATGTGTCTGTGAAATTTCAGCTCAAAATACCCCCCAGATTATTTATTATAGTTTGTCAAATTTGCCCCTTTTTGGGTGTGAGCAAAAACGTGCCGTTTTTGTGTCCCTTTAAATGCAAATGTGCTGCTGCTCCCCACCCCCGTTCAGAAGAGGGACGATCCTTTACACGAGCTTCGGACACAATAAGACACACGAATAATCTAACACATCCAAAATCTCAGAAATAACCAGTAGCGGAGTGCAGCCTTACAGACAGACTCAGGAAGAGGTTGCCATTTTTAGCCTGCACCTAGATGTTTCGGAATGGTTAGTGGATACATTTATGTAGTTGTTGTGGAGTTACATTAATCCATCTAATTCTAATCGACTTGCATGTACAGTCATGTTTAACTTTCACATAAGTTGACAGTTCCCTGAGGCCTTTATAAGACAGACCAACGACAGTTTGCCTGCTTTACTCAAACTTTTACCATTGCGTTAGAACTGGTTACACTGTTGTCGCTCGCGAAAACCAAATGGCGGCGCTGTGGGTGGAAACGTGCAGATTAAGGGGCGGTAATATTATAATAAGATTCCCTTCCTACGTCAGAAGGGGAGCGAAATCTGATCAGCTTTTTTTTTACATGCTTGCAGAAAAAGGCTTACCAAAACAAAGTTACTGGGTTGTCACTTTTCACGTTTTCTGGGTTGGTAGATGCACCGGGGTCCCGATTATAGCACTTAAACACGGTAAAGGTCAGATTTTCATGATATGTCTTCTTTAAGCCAATCATCTGAGTCGTAGCTGTGATTCCCATCAGTGCTATTTTCAGTTTTCATTTAAATTTTAGTTTAAGTTTTAGTAATTTTGTTATGGTTTTGTCATTTTTATTAGTTTTTGTTATTTTATATTTAGCTTTAATTTATTTTTTAATTTTAGTTTTATTAATTTTAGTACTTCAACTTAAATGTATTTCTTGCAGTTAGTGGCCAGGGCAGGATTGTAATATCTATAGCCAGCATTTCTAATATTTATATTTTATTTAATTACAGCTTTATTTAATTTACCAAAAAATGTTTTTTAATAGTTTTAGTTAATGATAACACTGATTGATATGAATAAAGATTTTGAACAGTAACATTCCGGGAAGCCAAACAACTACCATTGAGATGAATTGGAATGCTAAAAGAAATCTTTCTAAGTATTACAGACCTCCTTTCTCTCGACTAAGGATGTTAACCTCTGCGATACCCACCCAACAAAGATTCTGCTAAGTGACATATCAAATATTACTAAAAATGCACCGGCCTGCGTGACAAAAGGAACGACACAGTTGAAATGTCGCAGCACAATAATCTTCTGCATCAGGGATCAATAATTGAGTTTGCTTTCTATACCTGATAATCTGACATGCCCATCCTACAGTTTCACACGGTCTTTCTCACTTCTGACGCTCATAGATGGCTAATAGTTTACGGGCTGGACTTACTTGATATAGTATGGCACTTTGTTGGGGGAAATGGCACGTTCCCAAGGAATCTGCACAGAGCCTGGAGTGACAAAGGAAGAAAAAGGGCAATATCAATCAGACAGACATGTCGAGCATGAACAGCTATTTTGAAAATCTCAAACGGCACAGTTCAAGGTTCTTCAAGCATACTGTTTCCGCACGGAGAGGTTATTAAACAACAGCACCTCAAAAGTGTTCAGAGTGGTAGAAAGCTTTTCTGTAAGTGTGGAGCTGTGTAAACGTCTTTATGTGGAACTTCAAAGGTCAAACGCTGCTGTGCTATGAAATACAAATGGTAAAAACTGAGAACTATACAATCACTGAGGTCATTTAGGGGGCTTCAGCACCCCTGTCTTCCTTAGCTGCTTTTACAATCTGAAATGAATTAGGTGTCAACACCCTTAAAATGCTCGGTTTATGTAACATTACAAGTATTATATTTCCCTCTGTGAGTGACGGAACGAGGCCCAAGAGAGAAGACAGTGTGCCACCTCCACACATGGCTTTCATAAGTACACTATACTACTTTATTTCTCTATCCAAACTCCCTCTGTGTTCCAGGGAAATCACAAAATAAAGTGCCGCAAAATACATCATTACTTATATACTGAGCTACTGACAAAGGTGTCATTGTAAATGGATTTTATTTTGATTATTAAAAAATAATTGCCAATTATAGTCCTCTGAGCCTCATATTCAGCTAAAGGCTAACAAAACTAAATCTTAAACAGTGCATTCTGTTGGTCGGTTTGGCAGACAAGGCTTAAGCCTAGTCCCAGAATAAAATGCATGTTTGAGCTGTTTTAAAGGTGCTGTATGTAACTTTTTTACTCTACTAAAGCATAAAAATACCATAATATGTTTGCAGATATTTAGGAAACATGCTAAGTTCACATACTCATTTATCTGAAAAACACTTCTACAGCCAGTTATTTTACTTATTATTTTACACGTTCCGTGTTGTCAGTCGGTTTTTGTTTTGGTCTGTGTGATCTCGCCCACTGCCAGTTCATCCAATAGTATTTCGACACCAGTTGGATGCCAGTTGGCAGGAAACACAGTGTATTGCAGCCTTGGAAACGAGCAAACACACTGGGTCAGATATTGCAGATTCCACAAAACCTAAAAAGCCTCGATATCCATCTAAAAATCTCTATGAACCAGAGCATATTAAAACGCAGATAAATCAACTCATTAACTTACAGTGTGTAAGTCTCCTCGGCTTTCGTTGTCAATTGCGCGCGTTCCTGTTGCGTGTCCTCAAACTGGCAACCCGCATGAGCGTCGAGTCTGAGGAGGAGGGGGCGGGGGAAACAACGATCTCCCATATTTTGAATTTGGACTGCAGTACCTATCTCAACAACTAGCTGTCATTCTTACAGACAGCACCTTTAACTGAAAGCAACTTGCACTGATATCTCTTAAAATATGCCAGTGTCATTGTTTTGTCTCAAGATTCACACCAGTAATGTTTTTTCTATGGTATGTTTAAAATATCCTGGCTTAATCTAAATTCTGTCTGTGAAACCAGGGGCCCATTCTTTGTACGTGGATTACTCTGGATTTTAATGTTAAAGATTTGACATGATCCAGGATTGTTAGGTTCTTTGAAGATCATCCCGGAGTTGCTGTAATAGCAACAGGTCCATAAGCTCAAACCTGCTCGGGAGCAGGCTTATTTCATGTGAACAGGATTAGATTGCATCTTTTTAGGCGGATACTTAAAGTGATACTTAAAATCTGTTTGAGCCACTGCTACATTTTCTTACAAGAGTACCTTATTGAATCAGGAACAATAATAATTTAAAATAACAATAATAGTATAATGTTGTGTAGTTTATCATAATATAGACATAGATGGGAGTGGCTTGATGCAGCGCATGTGATGCAGATAACTTAAGATAAAGTAAAAATGCTGTCTGCTGTGTCAATAAAAAAAAATTATTGACCCTTAGGCAACTTTAATCAATGCTGTCACGTAACAAATCTGCTTCACAGGTAAAATTAAATGAATTGTATCATGTAACAAACAGTACACATTTAATTTATCTATCATAACGTTTATTTCGTTAAGGTCCCTTGGCTGTTTCCTTATAAAGGTCCAGAAATTCTGCAAGTTTTTTGTAGTAATCGCTGCATTGCTGATCATGGTTTCGAGTATCGATATATCTGCCCTTTCCAATGAACACGCAGTAATCTCAAGACAATTTATTTCAGATATTTTAATCAAATCCACAAATACATTTGAAGAACCAAATAAGCCAGAGATCAGTTATCATGATTAGAAGATCTGGCATCATAAAGAATGGACCCCAAGCCTGTAAGTTTTTGCTAACTTTTATCTGGTTCTTATTTGTCCATAAGTAGACTACCTGTCATTCTGGACTCTATACTCCCACCTATTGCCCTGGATGTATGAAGTTTGTTCTTTTTTGACTGTTTTCTTTGTCTCATATACTATACCCATCCATTATGGACATTCTTGGATTCAATCTAATTTTTTTGTGCGTTGTTGGTGGTTTGCATTGATACACTACTAAAAACGCCATTTTATAGAATACTTTTATGTATTGTCTGTATTTTTATGTGTATGTCTGGATTTTGCATCTCATTTGAGTATAGATCACAATGATATTTCTCAAAAGTTCTTTTCATTTATTTATGTGGAAACTTGAAAACATGAGTGAGTGGACATTTAAAATTCCGCGGAAAATTTAAAAGAGCCATTCCTATGTCCTCATTTAGAGTTGCAAAGCATCACTGATTTGTAGTGAATTAGAGAGCCAGAACATTTTTTAACAACTTTTAAATGAGGATACATTTGTAGCAGGGACTGTCTTTGTCCTGCAATGTTTCACCGGACAGATCTGATGTGATTGCAAAAATAAATAAAGACACAGCCCACCCTACCCATTTAAACACAGCCCTGCACCAACCCCTCTCCACTGAGCTCCATCAGCCCATCCCTAGCTCTCTTTGGCTTCAAATAAATTATACCACACTTACTAGAAAGGAAGTGCTGTGATCCGGGGCCAAAATCTCTGTGGGCATCTTGCAATTGTTTTAGACGTTCTTCAATAGATCCCTTGAGTAGAAAAGGAGAAAGAGGAGTTATTTTACATACTAAATCAAAGTTCTCTGATCGTATTATGGAATGGTTCACCAAAAAACAGAACGTCAGATGGGTTTTAAACACCATGATGATGAGCAAATGACAAAATTTTCATTTTGAGGTCCCTTTAAGTTTTTTTTTTTAAATGGACCAGTGTAACAGTCTACTGCCATCAGCTTTTGAAGAATACATACTAAATGAATGAGCAGTGACAGATAAATGCTCTGAAAAGTTTGTGAGCGATAATAGGAAAAGTGTTGAGGGTGTTGCACAAGAGGTTTCCCAAGAGTAATCCAGGTCTGTCGTTGTCGCCACCAACCAGATGTCTCTCTGGGGAATGGTGGACTACCTAATTAAAGTTATTTACAATGTAAATCATTCAAAGGATGTCAAAACATGGATATAAAGGCCAATAAATCCACTTAAGCATGAAGTATTTTCTTTCCCTCACTCTCTTCCTGTATCCTCTCTGTTTCTGTGAGGAATTTCAAGGACAACCAGCACTGCTTTGCAATAATATATATATATATATATATATATATATATATATATATATATATATATATATATATATATATATAATACTGCCCCATGCAAAGGCAGACATCTCTGTTAATCACTATAGCGAGCTATTGAGCCAGTAAATGTCTTTTTAGATTAACATTGTGCTGTCAATTTAATATGTTAATTTAGTACAAATTAATGATAAACAATATACAATACACAAATTGGTGCCAGCAAGATAAAAAAAAGAAAATAAATTAACACTTATTCGGCAAGGATGCATTGATTTGATTACAAGTGACAGTAAAGATATTTACAGTAAAGATATCATAGGTATAAATTACATTTTAAAATGCATTAAACTTTATTTTTGAACAAATAAATGCTGCCTTGGTGAGCATGGGAGACTTAAAAAATCTTATACAGTGTGTGTGTGTGTATATATATATATGTATGAACCCTTTCATTTGGGGTCTTATTTTAATTAATATGTTCTTAATTAATAAGGATAATAATAATTATTTTAATGACAATAATTTTAATCGATTGACAGCCCTAACAAACGTAAATACAACCTCAGATGACCAACAACACATGACACATTACAGTGTCATTATTTATTTAACAAAAAATAAAGGCAAAATAGAGAAGCCGTGTGTGACAAACTAAGTACACCCTATGATTTAATGGCTTGTAGAAACACTTTAGCAGCAATAGTTTGAAGTGATCATTTTCTGCATGACTATCACATCATTCTGGAGGAATTTTTGCCTGCTCTTGTTTACAACATTGCTTCAGTTCTTTCAGGTTTGAGGACATTTGTTTATGCACAGCTCTCTTAAGGTCCTTCCACAGCATTTCAATTTCACCTTTGACTGGGCCATTGCCACACCTTGATTATTTTCTTTTTAAGCCATTCTGTTGTAGATTTGCTGGTGTGCTTTGGATAATTGTTCTGTTGCATGACCCAATTTCGGCTTTTGCTGTCGGACAGATTGCTGTCGGACATTTGACTCTAGAATACTTTGGTATACAAAGGAGTTCATGGTGGACTCAAAGACTGTAAGATACTCAAGTCCTTGGCTGAAAAACAAGCTCAAATCATCAACCCTCCACAACCGTGCTTGACAGTTGGTATGAGGTTTTTGTGCTGATATGCTGTGTTTGGTTTTCGCCAAACATGGGGCTGTGCATTATGGCCGAACATCTCCACTTTGGTCTTGTCTGTCCAAAGGACAGTGTTTCAGAAATCTTGTGGTTTGTGCAGATGCAACTTTGCAAACATAAGCCGTGCTGCCATGTTCTTTTTTAGAGAGAAGAGGCTTTCTCCTGGCAATTCTTCCAAACATCCCATACTTGTTCAGTCTTTTTCTAATTGTACTGTCATGCAAACTGAGGCATGTAGAGTCTGAGGTGTAGTTGTTGGGTGTTTTGCAGTTTCTCTGAGCATTTCATGTTCTTACCGTGGGATGAATTTGCCGAGACGTCCACTCCTTGGAAGATTGGCAACTGTCTTGAATAATCTTCCTTACTCTAGAATAATGTGCTTCAAATTGTTTGGAAATGGCCTTGTAACCCTTCCTAGATTGATGGTAAGCAACAATTGCTTCTCTAAGATCATTGCTGATGTCTTTTCAAAGACATTTGATTAGCAGCTCCTGACTGCTTTTTTATCCTCTTAATTCATATGGAAGCAGTAAGGGTGTACTTAGTTTGTCACACACAGCTTCTCCATTTTGGCCTAGTTTTTGTTAAATAAACCTTGAACTATAAATCATGTGTTGTTGTTCATCTGAGGTTGTATTTACCCAATTTTAAGACCTGCCAAGGACCAGATGATTTTTTTATGATGTCCTGATATGTAAAACCATAGAATTCAAAAGGGTGTACTTTCTTTTTCACATGACTGCATGTTTAAGGGTTAAAAGCCAAAGATTTATCAACACAGCATTTCTCATTATATTCACACTACAAACAACAAGAAATGCTCACAGACAATAGCCCTGTGTGTTTTCCCTTACATTAGGTCACACACAAACTGCTGCAGATATGCATTTCATAGTTATTTTTTAATAACTGGATTCACACACTCCCACACACTCAAGTGTACTTCTCATTCTCTCAGCATCTCTTTCTGGCTCTCTTAAGCTCCTCTTACACATAAAACAACCAGATGCAATCGAAACACTCAATTTCATTTTACATCATCTCTATTTTCTCGTTGGAAAGGCCTTTGTTTTCCCATGAGCATGTAGACAAAAGGCACTTCCCGTGACCGATGATAATGGAGCCATCACCGCTCCCAGCCAGGCAGGACCAGCTTATTATATTCTATCTCCTTAGCTCCATTTTTCATAGTGCATGCACAAACTTAGTTGGCTGGAGTCAGCGCTGGCAATGGTGACCGGTGTACTGTATGATCTCCATAGGGGTCCATTAGTCAGGTATGGATGAGATAAGGACGGTGTGAGTTGACTACCTGCAGAAGTTTCCATCTGTTGTTGAGGTGCTCGAGGGCTCTGGCGTTCTCCATGGACAAGTGCACGTCAGCTATGGCCAGCTGATGGGCCAGGTCATTTATGTGTTTCATTCCTTCCTTGACCTGGGCCAACTCTTCTTTAAACAGCTACAAAAGAAAGAGAAAATGAGATGGATGACCAACACATATATAAATATATAATTCCTTACTGAAACTTTCCATCTGATTTCTGAGTGCACTATGCATTGTGTTACTACTGATGTTACATTTAAGTGTTACAACTATGCCTCCTTTCCACTACAAATTATTTAAAGGATGAAAAAAGTTGTGATGTTGACAGGCTGGCCACGGAGTGGATATTTTAGATGTTTAAAGGGATCTTTTATTCCATTAACAGCCTACACTTGTCCATTTTCATTCCATCCGTCACCACTGCTTACTTCGTTCCACACATTTACATTGAGGAGCTACACTGGGCATAAGTGCAAGAAATATCCAGTCTGTTGATAGCAGTGAAACTGCACCAAATGTCTAAGTGTGACAAGACCCAATGTGTGAGAGAACTGGTGACAAGTGAAAAATTTAAAAAAATGCAAAGAGAAATGTTTTTGTACGTGAAAAGCTGAGTTGAAATTCACCACCATTTAGGGTTGGTATGATCTTTTTAAGTCTCCTATGCTCAACAATGCTGCATTTATTTGATCAAAAATACAGTAAAAACAGTAAGATTGTGAAATGTTATTACAATTTAAAAGAACTGGTGTTAATAAATGTAATTTATTCATGTGGTGCACAGCTAAATTTTCAGCAGCTGTTACTTCACTCTTCAGTGTCACATGATCCTTCAGAAATCATTCTAATGGGCCTTTCACACAGGACGCAGAATGGGCTGCGCTATGAAACACATTCATTTCAATGGCTTGCGCCGCCCGAAGACGTTTTGTTGCTGCGTTGACCAAAGCGCAAGCGCAGTATGGAAGGCCAAGAGGGCCAAAAACACATGAATTTCAATGCGTATTTCACGTGTATTTCACACGTGAAGTACGCGTGACATAATCAGCGCGTATTTCACGCGTGAAATACACGTGAAATACGCGTTAAAAATCAGTTTGAACAGGTCGGTGTCATTGGCCATTTCTGTGAGCTTAGAGGGGTGTACCTTTCATAGACTAGGCTACCACCAGTTTACATGATCAGCTTATTCAGCCTATTTATTTAGTCCTTTTTTGTATAACCTATAGAAATAATATATTTAAATTGCAGTTTTTTAGAAAAGGAATCTTGCAGCAGCATTTTGCACTAATTGAAGACGAGCAATTTAAGACTTTGAAATCCTGCAGTAAAGTGAATTGCAGTAATCTAAACGTGAGGTGATAAAAGCATGTCCATCTCCAGAGTTTTATGATTAAGGAAAGATTTGACTTTAGACAGCAGACGAAGTTGACAAAACTTGAACTTTTAAAATACAAGTACAATGTAAAAACATGTATGTACACAATAAGTGCATTGTATCAAATTATTTCATTATTTCAATGTTAGAGCATATTAGTTAAGGACACACTTAGTTAAGTGCAACCCAGTTTATTAATTTATTTTCAGTATATACTTGTGTGCGGTCATGTATGCAGCCATATATCAAGGTGAACCTCACACAGCAGGGGTACATTCACAGTTTCATTACATGGACATTTATCTACTTTATCATAGAAGGCTTTAATAAAATATAGCTAACAAAGATACATTGACAGGTGACACTACAATGACTCCCCTTTTAAATTGCTAATTTAACCCTTTACACTTGAATTTATGATCACAAGCTTGGATGTGTTCTGTCAGTGCTTGAGGAAGGTAAAGTAAGTGGGGAACTGAAAAAAAAAAAGACGAGTTAGCTTTATAGCACAGTCTCATTTCAGTAAACTGCTGGTTAGGTTTGAAATCTGCCACAGGGTGTCCGGTAAGAGACTTGGTGAAAAGATGTTGGGAATTTGAGAGTAACCTGTTTATTTGTCACCACAACAACTCAGTTATTAACAAGGATTGAATGGTTGTCCTTAGTTGTGGGTGTATTTAGTGTGTGGTTTTCTATAGAAACAGAAAATGCAGAGTAAATATTCTAACATTAAATATTACAGATATACACATGAAGAATATTCAGCAAAATACACAACTGACTTGCTATTTGATTAAGTTAAACAGTAAATAGCTTGATTTGTTCTATATTGTATCAGGTGTGGTCTGTCTGGACATGTTCTTAAGAATATCTCAAAAACGAGCACTTAGACAATGAACTTTGGCCTTAGCATGGTCAATGTATACAGTAGTGTAACGCAGAACACGCAGGTGACTTTCCCCAAAATGAATCAAAAAAGGCTGTGACATATACAACTTTGAATTATATTTTCTCTTGATCTGGTGCCAATAACACTGAGTTGTTGCAGGGGTTTGGTTCATAGCTTCAAGATCTAAGTTGACAGAGACAGTTCATGAGTTGCTTCATGGCATCAACAAAGCCTGATTGCTTTGATTTGGTTTTGTCAACTCAAAACTAATCCTTTAACCCTGAGTTTGCTCAGCTACCTTCATGGTATAGGTCCTTGAGCAGTGTGCAGTATAATTAGTCTTCTCTCCTAGCTTTTTAATATATTCAGTAAGCCAATCAAGTCCCTCACATTGCTAAACAAGCATATAAACTGTCACAAAACCAGCCGTAAAATTAATTCTAGCTGTTATGAAGTGTACAATAGGATTCTCAGCAACAATCCAGATTACTTGCAGATTAACTGTGTGGTTCTAAAAAAAACGGCATAATAAGCTACTTAGTATTTTTATGTTTATATGTTTACTTAAATGTTATATGGTGTTTTAACAAAGTGCCTAATAATTTTTACAGATAAATTGCTTTAATACCAATTATCAAGGTGACCTAGGACTTTAGTACAGTAAAATACTTCTGCTGTCAGGAAATCAAGTTCTTATACCTGTCCTGACCTGAGCACAAGCTCTCATTCTAATCCTGAAAGGTTCAAATACTTATATATAAAGCCTTAAATAACATATTTAAATACTTTAAGTCATTAAATTCCTTTAAATTGATAATATCACCTGTATACCTAATTATGGTTTGTCTGATGAGTGCCCAATTTCAGAACAAAAAGGTTTGAATAAGCACCCCCTGCTTGCAAAAGCTGTAAATGTAAGCACAACAAAAGCTCACGTTGTTTTCCAAAGACAGATATTGATTACAGTGGTCTGTATCTTAAACCTGCATTGATTGGTTACCTCCACTGTAACTGATTTCCCCACACAAATGTTAATGCTTTGATGTTGTTTATTTACAAAAAGGCATGAGTGGAGAAAAAACAAGTCAATTTTATTTTGATCTAAATTTTCATAAAACTGCAATTTAACCCTCAGGTGCTCTTCGTTTCGGAGTCACACTTGTTATCTCCCCGGTCAGAAGTGACCGGACACCTAAAAATGAAACTTCCTCCATCCCAGTAAAACCAATGCAATTTATTTTTGTTCAATAATATTTTTTCTTTTTAATTTGGTATTTTGAGACAATTTGATGTTACTTACCGGTATTAATATCTATGCAATATTTATGGTCCATTTTTGCCATTGAAAACAATACAATTTTATTTTTTTTCTAATTTATAAAAATATTTCTTCAGTTATTGCAGTATTTCAGATTAATATAGAGACCTGGCCTTTTAAATCCAATTTTTGAAGTCAGATTAGCGCCATCTGTTGAGAGAAACTAAAATAAAACATGTCGTTTCATAGTGTAACCACTAGATGCCTGTATACCGGTAGCTCTCTATGGAGAGGCTTGTGAAATTACAATTCAATAAAAAAAATACAAAAATAAACTGTAATGGTTTTTCACAGCTTATTATTATTATTATTATTATTATTATTTTAAAACATATTAATTTATTATTTTTAAATATTATATTAATTATTATTTTACTAATTGTAATAATTATTATATTATATATATATATATATATTAATTATAATTATTAATTATGTTATGTTTTTCACTATTGATGTTTTTTTTCTGCATTGTGGGCGATTTGTAGAGAATTTGTGTTTGTCAATTTCCCATTCATTTCCTATGGTCGGTCAATTAATTGGTGTGTATGTGTATAAAAAGTGTGTTTGCGTGTGTGTGTGGGTGGGTGAGTGTGTCTGTTTTGCACTCTTGGTGTTTTAGAGTGTCACCCCTTCATTGTTGAGCACTTTTTTTCTGCATCGTGGCCAATTTGTAGATTGTACACACAAAAATTCTCAGAATTTTTGTGTTTTTGTCAATTTCCCATTCATTTCCTATGGTCGGTCATGTTTGACAGAAGAGAAAAAGTGACAAATTTTTTTATGACCAATTAAACTGCTCGAATCATGACCTCAATTTTTTTGTGTGTTCACATACCTATTGCCATAAAAGTCACCAAGTTTCGTAATTTTCTGATGAAGCTGTGATTTTTAAATATTCAAAACAGATTTCTTTAATCAAAATTTATTGGTGTTTTTGTGTATAAAAGTGTGTGTGGGTGGGTGGGTATGTCTGTTTTGCACTCTTGATGTTTTAGAGTGTCACCCCTTCAATGCTGAGCACTTTTGGATCATGGCCGATTTGTAGATTGTACACACAAAAATTCTTAAAGTTTTTGTGTTTTTGTCAATTTTCCATTCATTTCCTATGGTCGGTCATTTTTGACCGAAGAGCACAAGTGTGACTATTTTTTTTACGACCACTTAGCCTGCTCGGATCATGACCTCGATTTTTTTGTTTGTTCACATACCCAATGCAATAAAAGTCACCAAGTTTCGTAACATTCCGATGAAGCTGTGATTTTTAAAAATTTAAAACAGAAACTTTTTCGGTCAGAAATGACCGAAGAGCACCTCACGCGCTGATTATGTCACGCGTGAAATGATACATTTTTTACAGGGGTGTAATGATACACTCATGTCATGATTCGATACATAACATAACTCATGATACTATCACAATGTTTTAAAGTCAAAATAAAAAAAGAGTTTTTATTTATTATTATTATTATAATTACTTCTAAGACACATGGTACAAAGTTCACAAAAATATAATGTTGATTAAAATGCTAAATTTGGTATGGACGTGG